TGGGCCTAGGAGGCACAGGTCCTGCAACAACTCATCACAAGTCCTAGTAAGGGAATAATGCAAGCCTAGTAGATATTTAATGAGAGATTATTTCTGGAGATTATAAGGATACAGAAATTGCAAATAAATCCCTGACCTTTTCTGAGCCTTGGCTCAGTGAAAGAGCTGAATCACCTGCTTCAGGGGATTAAGGATAGCCGCTTCCATCTGGCAAGCTGCTCAGACTTTTTCTGTCATTAGCAAACTGCTTGGTGGTGATGGTGTTCTAAACCTTTTAGTGTGAACTCGCTTTTTAGAGTAGGCGATCTCAATTAACTTAGATTATGTACCTGCTGGGCAGAAATCAAAACTAATAATCAGGTTATGTATGCATTCTAGTCCCTATTGCATTGGTGGCACTGGTGCATGTTAAATAATAAAACAGTTGGTAATCATTAGTACTGTAATCATGACATTATAGGAAACTCAAGTTAATGAGAGTAGAAGTCAACCTGTGTGTCAGGTGCATGCATGTGTATGCATGACAGAGACAGAGATACAGGAAAGTGCCCAGGCAGTGAGCATTATAATAACTGACACCAGCTCCAGTTTAGAAATTTAGAGCAATAATTGATAAACTGTGTTTCACAAGTTGCTTATTGGGGAACTGTCATTTGATAAGAATCCTATTAGCTCAGTTGTATCTACTTATAATACTATGATAATTATCATCAGTGTGCAACTTGAACACATTAGGGGCTAATAGTTACCTTAGTGTTTGACTTTGCAATATGTAAATGTTATATTCATTTGAACTTAGACAACTGACAGATACTAATAAATTCTAGGTACATGTGTGGTGTGTAGCATTTGTATAATATTTATTTCAAGAAAAGGAGACTGGGGGTTTAAACAAATTGAAGAACTCATAATGCTAGGAAAACCAAGGAAAAGCATTTACTCAGAGAATTGGGGAGGGAAGAGTATATTTTGCTTTGCCATTTTCTAAAGAAGTAATTGTAGTTAATAGAAGTTGGTAGGATTTCAATTTTTCTGGACATACTACACATTTTACTCAGTACAGTATACATTTTTCTGGATATACTGTACCTTTTTCTGGACATAATTAATTCTTATGAGAATTAAATGAGATAATATATGCATAGTACTTCTAATTGTACTTGGAATATGGTAAGCTTTTAATGAATGCCAGATAATGTTTTTGTTATTCCTGTACCAACTTATTCTTTTCCATTAGACAGTACTTAGTAGGAAAGGATCTGACTTCCAGCAGATCCCAAAGAATAGGTCAAGGGCTAACTTACCTCTGGAGGGTTATCTCTAACTCTGTTCTCACTTCTGCTAGTTGGGCTGATGGCTTTAAGAGCATTTGTCATCTGACCACTAGGGTTGTCATTGTTAGCTGCTAGGTTATTTCCAGTTTTCCAAAACTTTTATCCATGTTCATTAGGGTAAGGAAGCAAAATAGTCTTTGTCTGGACAGTTTATCAATTCCTAGAATAAGACCATGTCCACAAACCAACTTATAAAACACTCAGGTTTGTAGTCAGTCTCCACAGCTCCTCAGAACACTGTTCAAAAGAGCAGTTCTTTCTCTCTTAAGCTTCTTTCATTATCATCCCTATGACTAAGCACTTAAGCACTTCCCAAAAGTTGAACTAAAAGACTTCAACTGATTATTGAGTCACAGTTATAAATATTTTGGAAACCTTAAATACAAAAAATAATTTTCCCTCTGACAGATACTTTCCAGTAAGCTGTATTCTGACTACTATATAAAGGAATGAAAACCCTCATCTGCACATGCGGAAAGATGCCCAACATCATTGGTCATTAGAGAAATGCACATGCAAACCACAATGAGATACCATTTCTGTTAGACACCTGATAGAATGGCTGTCATCAAAAAGACAATAAAAGATGTTGGCAAGGATATGGAAATATTGGAGCCCTCCTGTGTGGCTAGTGGGTATGTAAAATGACACAATGCTCTCCAGAAAGCAGTTTGACAGATCTTTAAAACCTAAACATAGCTACCATATAACCCAGCAGTTCCATTCCTAGGCATATATTGAAGAGAAATGAAAATATATGTGCACACGAAGTCTTAGATGCAAATGTCCCTAGCAGCATTATTTACAATAGTCCCATAGTGGAAACAGCTGATGAATGGATAAGTGAAATGTGGTATATCCAAACAATGGAATGCCATTTAGTTGTAAAAATGAATGACATCTTGATACAATGTAGATAAACTTGAAAACATGATATAAGTGAAAAAAGCCAGGCACAAAAAGCCACATGTTACCTGATTCCATTTATATGAAATGTCCAGAATTGGCAAATCTCTTGAGAGAGAAAGTAAATGAATGATTTCTAGAGGCTGAGGGAAGAGGGGATCTAGGGGATGACTGCTAATGGGCATGAGATTTTTTAGGGTTGATACAAATATAATGGAACTAGTAGTGATTGATGCATAACTTTGTAAATACAATAGAGTTTGCTGAACTGTAAGATTTAAATGGTTAAACTTTATGGTATGTGTAGTATATACCAATAAAGCAAGTATTTATAAAATGTTCCCTTAGATTCCCACAGATATTTGGCCTATGTATCATCATTAGTTATTAAATTTGGAAAATGCTTATTGCATGAGTTAATTGAGGTTCATTTGGAGGAATGATTTCTCTCTGTCTTGCAACTTCTGCTCATAAGGCTCGATATAACACAATTTTGGAGTAAGTGCTTGGTTTTTACTAGAAACTCAAGGGATTGAGTCAGGAGACTCCTTACAGCATTAAGAAAATAAAAGTAGGGCCTTCCTGGTGGCTCAAGGGGTTAAGATGCAACCTATGAGGCTATCCACAGCCACTGCAGCATGTATACTATCCCTGGCCAGGGAGCTACCCACATGGCACAGCAGACCTCTCGTGGTTCGCCTGCTGCTCCCCTCAGCCATGTATTTCAGTCAGTCTGCCTGTTCTATTCCCCACTCTGTCTCTGGTGAATCCTCTCACCCCCCACACCTCTGGCCTGTGCCCCCCAGTTCTTGTATGCATAAATGGATAAAACCTTTGGGGGAAAAAAAGAAAAGTAGTGGTTTGCATAGCAGGTCATCATCAGGGAGAAAAACATTGCTTTCCCCCTTTTCTGCTGCTGTGCTTACTATTCTAGAGCCTGACTGTGTTTATAATAGATACCACTATCAATAAGTATTCATGTAAGAACAAGAGCTCTTTCCTTTAGGGAAATTAGTGTTCCCTGTTAGTTTGATTTGGGGAATTCTCAGTGACTTTGTTTTAAAGGACTTTTATCTTCATTGGATCTAAGTTGATCCATATAATCAAGAATTAGAGTAAGTTTCTCTTTGGATTAGATCCAAGATAAATTCAAGTTCTGCTTATTTCTCATATTTTACAATTTCATTGCATGTTCTGGGAGGATGCCAAATTATTTCTGAATTCTCACCTTCCTACTTTATGCCATTCCCTGCTGCACTCTGAACTTTAGTTTTTCCTGATGTCCTCAGGAGGTCAAAGATGAACCCATTTTTAAAGATTACCACACACACACTTCAGAAGGTCAAGGATGAACCCATTCTTTTTTTTTTTTTAAGATTTATTTATTTATTTATACAAGCACTGGGTACAGTCAGAAGCACGGGAGGGTGAGAGACTCACTCCAGAGTCAATCCAGAAAACTGCCCTAAATATGACCCTAAGTTAGAAAATTAAAATCTTGCTCATATGACTTGACAAAAAGAAAAATACAGAAAGAAAAAGTGACTCAGAGAAAAATTAAAACAGCAAACAACTAATAAGCTACTCAAAGAGGAAGCACCAAGGCTATAGAGTCACCCTTCATATGATAAGGCAAGAGGCAGGGATGGAGTTTTCCACCTACTCCTAAACCTACTAGTGTCAAAGAATAAATAATCAGCAGTAGCAACTTCTCCCACAGCCCAGAACCCACAAGTTTCCTGACAACAAGGCAGGAAACCTACAAAAAGTCATACCCATACTGGTAATCCGGTGTGTGAGGTAATCTTTAAGAATGGGTTCATCTTTGGGCCTCCTGGTGGCACAGTGGTTGAGCGCTGGGCTGCAAAGCTGCCCGCAGCCTCAGCAGTGCCTGTTCCATCCCTGGCCGGCCGGCGAAGGTCCCACATGGCCCGCAGACCTCTCCTGTCTTACCTGCTGCTCTGCTCAGCAGTGTATTTCAGTAGATCTGCCTGTTCTGTTCCCCGCTCTGTCTCTGGTAAATCCTCTCACTCCCCCACACCGTTGGCCTATACATACTCAGTTCTTGTATGCATAAATAAATAAATCTTTAAAAAAGATGTTTAGTGTTGTAAATCTCTCTTTATATGCAATATAATGATAATGATGGTATCAGCCTAGTGGGCTTGCATCCATTAATGCAATTAATCTATAATCAAATAATGCAATTAATTATAATCTTATAAAATGCTTTCCCAACATTTATTGAACAGTTCATTTATGCTTTTTGAAGGATACCAGCAAGTGAAGTGTTTGGTTCTACAGCTTCTGAAATAACAAAAACAATTTAAAAGATCACTGAGATTCCTTTGATAAAGTGCTGTACTCTGTGTTGTTTTTCTCACCTATCAATTGAGAATAATTGGGTAGATTATCCTAGGACAGTAATTCTTACTATGAAAATTAAATGAGTTAATATATGCACAGCAGTTCTAATTGTACCTGGAATATGGTAAGCTTTCGATCTCTGGTGAATCCTTTCACCCCCCACACCTCTGGTCTGTACCCCAGTTCTTGTATGCATAAATATATAAATCCTTAAAAAAATAATAATAATCGATGAATGCCAGATAACTTTTTTGGCACTTCTGTACCATTGGTGAGGAAAATTAAAAGCATATGTGGCCACCCCATGGGCCTGATGCATGCTAGTTGGACAAGCCTTGTTTGAGGTTGATTTGCACAACCAGCAACTTGACTGCCCTTCTCTTCCTCTTTCAGCTGCACAGTTGGACAGCATTGGCTTCAGCATAATCAGGAAATGCATCCACGCTGTGGAAACCAGAGGTAAAGTAGTTCAACAGATGGCATTGTTCTCAGTGAAGGTCATGCATCTGGTGAGGCGTCAGACCTGTTACCTGCTGTTTCCCGATTTTAAGTGACTCATTAACTCCCCAAGTGCCATGTCAGTGTGTTTTTGCAGCAGAGGCTTTCAGCAATCATGGCGTCATTCGCCTTTTTGACTGATCAAAGAATGTGTTAAATTCATACATATCAGATACATAGGATGTAAGGAATCCAGTTACTAAAATTTCCATTAAAATTTTTAAAAATATAATGTGATATAATATTATATATTTTTTGTTAACACTTTAACAGATTAGAATGCTGGGTCTGACTGCTAGCATAGATCTGAAATAGGGATATTTCATGATGTCTGTAAGTAATTATAAAGTTTCTTGGAAATATCAGTGATTGCTGACCAGGTTGTAGATACTGCTAATATCACTGATTTGTTACATCATAATGGACAGGAGTGCTTAAGTTTAGTTACAGGTTAGTAAAAAAATAAAGATGTATTAATTTTCCTGTTTGAATTCATAGATAACCTGAATTCTCTAGTGAACTTCATGGGGGGTCTGTATGCCCCAGGTTAAGAATCCTGCCCTTGGGCTGTAGTCCCTGGGGAACATCTGGGTAGGGAGAAGGGGTCTGCAGTGGTGCTGTGGGCAAACTCTGCCTAAAGCATGTTGGCCTTCCACAGGTCTTTGAGCAGGACTTTGAGATCAGGAAAGCTGGGACATCTCATGGTCTTCATCCCCCAGAAGAGATTGTTACAAAGGAGATGCCTTTGTTCTGGAGCTTGGAGCTTTGAATGCACTGGTCTATTGTTCCCCTGAGAATAGCTAATAACTATCCTTCCACTGGATTTGATTTGAACTTTTGTCAAGTCAATAAATAGAATCTTATTTATTCTACAGCCTTACAACCCACCAGCTCCTTTTATTTGTTGGAAAGAGGTTTTCTTTTAAAGCAGGATCCATAGCTCTTACCTACTGAGAAGTATAAACACCTTTATTAAGGTTATAAAGCATTTGAGTAAAGAAGGAAAACAAAACTAATCTTATGAGCCTCTACTTCTATGTAGCCAGTCAAAAAAAGATTCTTTCCAAGGTAATTATTTTAATATATGCTAACATTTCTTAAATGATGGCTAATTTCCACTACCTTGCTTTAATAAAGAGTTAAAGCAGCTTGCAAAGATATGTAAGATATAGCCAGAGATATAAAGTTGAAGTAGGTAAGATTTCTGGGAATTGATCTGGAGGAAATAAGGACATGGGCCAGGCTGAGCCCTAAGGATGTTTACACAAGGGTGGTGTTAGGTGAAAAAGCAGAATCTGACCAAATGTCTCAAAAAATTGGTTAAATCAGCAGTGATACAGCCATGTAGTAAAAAAAAAAAAAGTAGGAATCACTAAAAGTGCAGTGAAAATACATTTGTTGACTTCCAGGGTTTCTATTGTCTACATTTAGTGAAACATGCAAATTATAAATCAGCCTGTCTAGTATGAACCCGTTCTGGGGCTAGTGGAGTGAATGGAAAGCCACATCTGCACAGGTATCATTATGTTGTCAGTGTCTGTTATTTTGCACTGTCTTCTTTGCCTTATTTATTTGCCTTAACTGCAGTTTTCTAAATTTTAAAAAATATGTATTACTAAGGTAAATTTTCAACAGATATTTTGATTTACTTTTCATTTTAAAGAATGAAAAATAAGGAATAACAAAGATACAGGCTTAAAAATTAGGCCAAAAATAAAACTCCCCCCCCCCCATATCCCCTCCCTCCCACCCAGCAAGCCCATCCCTAGGAAGTCATATTCTTGCCTGAAGGGGGCCACTTGTATATCTCAGTTTTCAGTAGCTGAAAGCAAGAGGGAAATCTAATCATTTAAAATCTTACAGGGCCTCCCCAGTGGTGCAGAGGGTTGAGCACAGCGCTGTGAAGCTATCCACAGCCTCTGTAGTGTGGGTTCGATTCCTGGCTGGCCAGGGAGATACCCACATGGCTTGGCAGACCTCTCCTGTCTTGCCCACTGCTCCCCTCAGCAGTGTACTTCAGTCTGCCTGTTCTGTTACCCCCTCTGTCTCTGGTGAATCCTCTCACCCTCTGGTGCCTCTAGTCTGTATCCCAGCTATTGTATAAATAAAATAAATCTTTAAAAAAAAATCTTACAGATTCTGTGTGGTAAATGCAGACCAGTAGCTAGAAGGAAACCTTTTTGTGATCTAAAACCAGAAAATATATGCAACAAGTAGCAGAGGAAGACAAGGGACACCATATTGGTTGGGTCTCTTAGCCTCTGTCTCCTTGTCCCCTACCCCCTGTAAAAGGAGGGTAGCAATGATATGTTTCAACTTCTAAGTAAGTTTTCTTTTAGCACAAAGAGGAAATAAGAACAGTGTGAGTGAAATACCATTTTGGCATTAATACTTGAAGGAAATGGCTATTACCCTATTGCATTGCATGTATGTACACCTCTATTTGTGGTGAGCAGTCCTCCCATACTCTGGGGATTGTTAATAATCTGGACTTGTGTCAAGTCCCAGGAAAGCACAAGACAAAAGCAGTAGAGACACTTGAAAAAAGACTAGCCCTTCCTGTTGCCACTTTATCAAATAATGCTTTTGATATTGAGTAATTTGAGCCCCAGCCCTTAGATTTTGCGCAGGGACCTCCAGTGCATGAACCATGCAGGACAATGTCCATGCTTTGACAGATCCTTTTCATCTATAAAATCCTATCATTCCAGGCCAATTCCTTTTACTTCTATGAAATAATTCCAGAATAAGCCTTTCCCCCAATTTCTTCCAAAGTAATGGCCCAGATGGAGTGTAACACAATATTTTATTCATTTCTCTCCTGCATCATATATATTGATGCTGGAGATACAGTCAGTGGTTAAACAGAATGTACTGGGATTGCAGGAATGCAGTGATATAATGGACTTAATATTACAGTTATGGAGAAAAAGACAAACAAGAAACCAAATAAGGAAGATAATTTTAGACGTTGGTAACTGCTCTCAAGAAAAAGAAAATAGGGTAAGGGACCAGCCAGTTGTGGTGGGAGTGAGATGCCTTAGATTGAAGAGGTAAATTGAAGCTGAGAACTTAATGTTCTGGAGACAAGTGTCTTCCCAGGTAGAGGAAATAGCAGTGCAAAGGCTTTGAGCTTGATCTCTTGGAGTAACAGTAAGGCCAGAGTGGCTGGCACAGAGTGAAGGTGATCACGATCAGTTTTGATTGTGGTCAAAATGCAGTGGGAAACCCTTTGGAAGATTTTAAGAAAAGAGTTGATTTGAACTGACACTTGAAACGTTCTCCAACGTTGGTTGGAGAATATACCTTAGGGAAATAGGATAGTAAGCTAGAGACCATTTAGTTGAGAGGTATCAGATGTGATGGTTGAGAACTAACAAGAACAAGGTCTTTTCATGTTGCTTGGTCTACCTGTCCCCTTTTGTAAATTGTACAGTGGTTGATTTCATCCTTTCTCATAAATGAGCAAAGAGTACTGCAGGCTAGTGTTTGGTTCTTTGTTTAGGTGTTTGGGGATAGACCCCTTTTAGTCCACTTTCCTTGTTTTGAATTAAGGAGATCCTTTTTCTTTATAAAGAGTATTTGCAGTATAAGTGAGAGGATTTTGTAATTGGCTAACATTCTCTAAAACTAAAAACCTCCTTGTACCTCAGTATTTTCATTCCATGTGTGAAAATAGATTGTAAATTATTCTTTTCTGTAGTAATGCATTTTTAACATGTCAATTTTGGTGTTTTAAGTTTAAAAAACTGGTTAAATAAGACATCTGAAAAACATATATTTAGCATCTTTCAAAACTCTACAGATGCTGCCTTTGGCAAGAGGAGAGGAAGGTTTCTTTTTCCTCTGATGACTGAGCTAACATGAGGGCTGAAGTGTGCAGCACACCCGTGAAATCCTAGACAGCTGTACCAAATCCCACTCCTTTGCTAAGAGCAGAACTGAGTGACAGGGGACTTTAATTAGAGCGGCTTTTAGAAGAACTGAGAAAATGAAAAAAAAAGTGCACTTGGCTGGGTTGACTTGACTTTTGTTCTGACGTGCCTCTAATTAAATCATCACTGTTTCTCTTCTCAGGGATCAATGAACAAGGGCTCTACCGAATTGTGGGGGTCAATTCCAGAGTGCAGAAGCTGCTGAGTGTTCTGATGGGTGAGTGCTCCAGTGGCTCGGCCAGGCAGGGCCTGGGGGATTACTGTGAAAAGTCACCAGGCCTGTGAATATTGTCAGCCTCCTATGAATTAGGGGGTGTTGAGGTAACTCCCAGAAATCCACTATCCCATTTACTAATTGTCCTGATGTCAGGCTTTATGGAAAGAGGTACCAAGCAGTACCAGACAAAACAAAAAATGGCAGGTCCAAGATACCACACCTTTCAGTTTGTGGACTCAGCCGATGCCAATGTAAGTGGCGCTGGGTTGCTCATGTGACTACCACACCCTACTCTGTCTTTAATAACTCATGACTCCCTCTGCCTTCTTAGGAGACAGGTATTTAGTGGGCACACCCAATGCCTAAAGAAGGGCATCCTTCGAGCCCACAGAGTGCCTCATATCTCATTTCCTGTGACTGAGGTGTCATGTGACTCCCAGATAGAATGTATATAAGCAGATCATTCTGATCCTCTTTGCTTCTACTAGAGAGCAACCTGTTCTCTGTCATTGGAGCAGCAGAACTTTGCAGCTGGCTGACATTAATATAAAACCCCTGTCTTCAAATGTGCTGTATTTGAATCAAGAACTCATGAGCCCAAATCACTTAGGTTGCAGGTTTTCTATATTTTTAGGTATGATTACAGCCAGCCTCAGTGAGTCACATGGATCTAAATGGCAAACAGATCAGATTTCAGAGAGCAGTGACTGTTATTTATCCCCATGGAAGCACTTGTAGAGATGGACTATCACTTGGGGTCCCCATTCAGTGTTTTGGACAGGGCTCTATTGTATTACTAGACATAGTGATTTCTTTTGTCTGAAACTATTAGTTTGAGGTGCTGTTACGTAGAGGATTTGTTTTTTGGTTCATATTTGAGATTTTTAAATTAAACTTACTTTGCTATATTAAAGATTTTATCCCAACAATATATTAATACAATAAATTTGCTCAAAATGCAAAAAAAAAATAGGTAATTGTAGATTCACATGCAATTGTAAGAAATAATACCAAAAGATCCTGTGTATACTTTACCCATTTTCCTCCATTGGCAATATCTTGCTAAACTACAATGAAGTATGACAACCAACCTGCAGAAGAATTTTAAAGATTTCTGGACATCCTTTTATGGCAATATCCATCTGCCTTCTCTCACCTCATCCTCTATCACTAATCTCTTCTCCACTTCTATAATTTTATCATATCAAGATTGCTGTATTAATGGAATTATATAATATTAACCTTTTAGAATTGGTTTTTTACAGTCAGCATAATTCCTTGAGATTTATTCAAGTTGTGTATATTGTTTGTTCCTTTTCATTGCTGAGTAGTACTCCATTATATAGATGTACAACTCTTTAACCATTCACCTGTTGAAGGACATCTGGATTGTTTCCAGTTCAAGGAATTTATTAATAAAGCTTCTTTAAATATTTATGTACAGGTCTTTAATGAACATTCATTTATTTTAGTGGAATAAATGTAAATGCTGGGTGATTGGTCATATGGTTAATTTTTGAAAAATTCTAGTGTAAGGGAGAATTAAGTCTAACAGATATTGAACCTCAGTTTTTCATTTATAATAAGAGCTACAAACATTTGTGAAACATCTGCTTTCTGAAACAAATTATCTGGTGCTGGATATGGAACTTTGGAAACAATCAGTCCTTGTCTGCAACATGTCCTGATAGGGAAAAAGAAACACACATATGAGATCTGTAATGTAGCATACAGTACAGGTGGCCAACATGAGCTGGCTCTGGACAATTGAATTGTGAAGATGAGAAAAGAAGAATTTAGATTCAGGCAATAGTCCTAGAAATGGCATGGAGTATAGAAATTATGGTCTGTGGTAACTATAGCATAGGGTATGATTATTTTAATTATTATTTCAGTATTTCAGAGGTTTTGAGACTGGGACAGGAGAGTTAAAACCAAAAAGCTAGCATGACCCCTTTTATTGAGAAACTTGTATACTATGCTAAGAAGTTTTTGTTTTGTTTTGTTTTGTTTCTATAGGAAGCAAAACACTATTAAAAGTTTCTAAAGTACTGGTACCATATGTCTTAGACTCTTTTGCATACAATGTTCAGAAGACAATTAAGAAGAGTTTAGGGGAAAGCTAAAAGGCACTTATTTGCTCACATTACTGGTAAGTTCAAGATGGCAGAAACATGGCAGAGTCTACCAACTCCTGTTTGCTGGAGCCTTTCCTTTCCTTTCTTCTGACTTCTTATTATCCATTCCTCTACTTGTCTTGGTACTGCTGTGTTCTCTGTGGGAATGTCCCAAATAGCCTGGCCTCAGAAGCCCTCGGGGCTTGCATTACTGAGAGGAGAATGTCTTTCTGATAGTTTTAGCAGACAGTCTCAGAGAGGACTTTAATTGGTCATTTTGACCATTCACATGATTTATTTCTCAAGCTCAGTCTAGTCACATGACCTAGAGCAGATGAATCTGGAAGGCTTAGATCCTGTTTCTCTATCTAGTGATGGGGGGACAACTGTGGAGGGACGGGTTGGGGAGGGTCTTAGTCCATCGAACTTGATAACCTGAGCAGGATTAACAGAATGATAGAGGAGTGCTTTCCAGAAATAATGGCTGCTGGGTGCATAAAAAAGTACATCCAACGTAGATGTAACTAGATCCGATTCAGGTTTTAGGATGATAATGCTGGCAGCAAGATCAATATATTTGATCATGAAAGACCAGAAGGGAGAAGACAGTTGCAGTAGATTAGGGCAGAACACAACCCATCAAGGCATGAACGAAATAGCTGCTCCGAGGTCAGGAAAAAAGGACTGGCTTAAAATAATTGGAGAGAGAGAATCAACAGGACTTTGTAACCAACTGAATATGAGGGCAGAGAGATTTCAAAGACAACAGGTTATTATGTAAGGTGACACTAATGAAAAGAAACATGACTGGTTTGCTAATCTAAAAAAGAACCACTTTAACTGAGTAGTGCTAAGCAGAGTGGTATGAAAGGATCTTGTTTATATCACTTCTCTTAGTGGCTGTTGATCAAGATATGAATCCTTTTCTCTTCTTTAGTTTTATGAAGGATAGAGAAAAGAATCATGAACATCTAAGAAATTTCAGTTAGTGGATACTAATAACTAGCAGCGGAAAGTTAAAAGGTAGTGGCGGGATTTTATGGATAGACTGGGATCCAGACTGAGGTTCAGTCAGAGCTGAGAGTGGCCCGAGGAACAGAGGTAGTTGAGAGTTGAGAATGGTATCCATAAATCTCACCATTAGTTAGTTAAACAGTTTGGATCTTTGAATTGAGGGATCGCCCATTAACTAAGAAGAATCCAGACCTAAAGGAGGAGCTCCATCTCCCTTCCCTTTGGCTAACATGCTTTCATCTTCATTAATACTTAGTACTGGTACTAAACTGGGACAGACAGGAGTAAAATAAGCATGATTCCCGTACTTTTCAGACATCTCTCTGAGATAGCTGGGCTGAGTGTGAACCAGCCATTCACTAATCCTTTATTATATATTCATGGCATACCCTCGCATGTGCTAGGCACTATGAAAGGATTGGTTTCTCAGAGGCTCTCAAAAGTAAAAATCAAAATCAACAAGCAACTATAAACCAGGGACACACTATAGGGGAGAGAAAAGGGAGTTGGATCAAAACAAGGGTGGTGGCCAACTGGGAGAACATTTTTGCACCCAACACTAATGATAAAGGACTGATCACAAAAATCTGCAAAGAGCTGATGAGACTCAGCAACAATAAAGAAAATAATCCAGTCAAAAAATGGGCAGAAGAGCTAAAAAGAAACTTCTCTGAAGAGGAAATGCAAATGGCCAACAGACATATGAAAAAATGTTCAACATCACTTGTCATCAGGGAAATGCTAATCAAAACTACCATGAGATACCATCTCACACCAGTGAGAATGGCACATATTAAAAAAACTAGCAACAACAAATGTTGGCGAGGGTGTGGAGAAAAAGGAACTCTTCTGCACTGTTGGTGGGAGTGCAAACTGGTCCAACCACTATGGAGAGCTGTGTGGAGATTTCTGGACCTACTAAACATAGAGCTTCCATATGATCCAGCAATTCCACTCCTAGGTATTTACCCAAAGGACACAGAAACATCAATTCCAAAGAACACCTGCACCCCTATGTTTATAGCAGCACTGTTTACAATAGCTAAGCTTTGGAAACAACCCAAATGCCCAAAAGTAGATGACTGGATCAAGAAGATGTGGTACATATATACCATGGAATATTACTCAGCATTCAAAAAAGATAAACACATGCAATTTGCAGCAACATGGATGGCGCTGGAAGGGATCATGCTCAGTGAAATAAGCCAAAAAGAAAAAGAAAAATACCGGATGGTCTCACTCATAGCAGGAATCTAGAAAACTTAAATAAGGGACCAGGAAAATGAATATAAGAAAGTAAAAATCAAAATCAACAAAAAACTATGAACCAGAGACACTTTTTGGGGGGTGGGGGGCGGGAAGGGAAGGATTGGGGTCAGAATGGGGCTTTTGCAATTGTATGGGGGAATATAAAAATAAAATTTATTATTTAAAAAAAAAAAAAAAACAAGGGTGGTGGGAATTGTATGGGGACTATAACCAAGATGAAAATGCATACATTGTGCAAAAATGAAAAATAAGTAAGAAATATATAAAATAAAAAGAAAACAAAAGATGAAAAAAAAAGTGGAATAGTGCATTTTCATTATTGACAATATAGGTTAGGATGAAGTAAAACCAGAGACTTCCTTTGATCACTTTATTTCTGTGCCCTTAATGCCGTGGGAGGCTAAGATTGGAAGAAGAAAATAAGAACCACTGCTTTGAAAAGAGTTTCTTTTTACTGATTTGAATTTCTTAAGAAAATTCACCAGGATTTCTCACAGAAAATGCAGTTTGTCTAGTGCTAGTGTCAGAACAAGATCTGTCCTTGATCCCTTCCTCCCAGCAACAGTAATCATTAGTCTCTGAAGAGTAAAAGGACCCCGG